AACTAGGTTACATCCGAAGTTGTTAACTCCCCCAAAACTTGATACTTATATATGATAGTTAATTACTTCATAATTCAAATATTTGATATTCTAAATAAATAGTCAGAGATCCTACAACATTTTGTTATTTTGTAAAGTAAAGTAAGATAGATATAAAAACTATTAATATTGTTAATCACATTTTATGTAATGTATTATTATAAGCTTTATCAATACCTTCTAAATAGGTCATGCGAATAAAATAATAAAATAGAAAATAGCATTTGATGACTCCGTGGCGCATTGGTAGCGCGTCTGACTCAGAAGGTTGCGAGTTCAATTATCGTCGGGGTCATTGAATTTGAAACTTGAGTCTTTCGTAAAAGAAACAAGTGCCTTTCGAAGAGCGATTGATGTTACGGCAGATGACCATAGATATCTTATATACACTAGATAGTGCATCTAATTATTCTGCAATTCAAAAATTGAAGCCGTGATTGCAGTCTCAGGTCGTTCCCATGAAATGAGAGAAGAAGTTCCTCAGCGTGAGGAACCTTGTCCTCAGCATGAGGAACCTTGTCCTCAGCGTGAGGAGCCTTGTCCTCAGTGTGAGGAACCTTGTCCTCAGCGTGAGGAACCTTGTCCTCGGCATGAGAAACCTTGTCCTCAGCGTGAGGAACCTTGTCCTCAGCGTGAGGGACCTTGTCCTCAGCGTGATGAACCTTGTCCTCAGCTTGAGAAAGCTTGTCCTCAGTGTGAGGAACCTTGTCCTCAGCGTGAGAAACCTTGTCCTCCTCGTGACGAACCTTGTCCTTAGCGTGAGGAACCTTGTCCTCCGCGTGACGAACCTTGTCCTCAGCGTGAGGAACCTTGTCCTCAGCTTCAGGAAGCTTGTCCTCAGTGTGAGGAACCTTGTCCTCAGCGTGAGGAACCTTGTCCTCCTCGTGACGAACCTTGTCCTCAGCGTGATGAACCTTGTCCTCAGCTTGAGGAAGCTTGTCCTCAATGTGAGGAACCTTGTTCTCAGCGTGAGGAACCTTGTCCTCAGCGTGGGGAAACTTGTCCTCAGCGTGAGGGACCTTGTCCTCAGCGTGGGGAAACTTGTCCTCAGTGTGAGGGACCTTGTCTTCAGCGTTGGGAACCTTGTCCTCAGCGTGGGACCCTTGTCCTCAGCATGAAGAACCTTGTCCTCAGCGTGAGGAACCTTGTCCTCAGCATGATGAACCTTCTCCTCAGCTTGAGGAAGCTTGTCCTCAGTGTGAGGAACCTTGTCCTCAGCGTGGGGAAACTTGTCCTCAGTGTGAGGGACCTTGTCTTCAGCGTTGGGAACCTTGTCCTCAGCGTGGGACCCTTGTCCTCAGCGTGAGGAACCTTGTCCTCAGCGTTGGGAACCTTGTCCTCAGCGTGAGGACCCTTGTCCTCAGCGTGAGGAACCTTGTCCTCAGCGTGAGGAACCTTGTCCTCAGCGTGAGGAACCTTGTCCTCAGTGTGAGGAACCTTGTCCTCAGCGCGAAGAACCTTGTCCTCAGCATGAGGAACCTTGTCCTCAGCGTGAGGAACCTTGTCCTCAGCGTGGGGAACCTTGAGAAAAGTGAAAATGAGAAAAGTGGCTAAAAATCTTAATTCATAATCTTTAATTTACTTAATTAAAGGCTATATATAGCCTTACTTTTTTTGCTGTTTTAGGCCATTTATGAAAAATGAAAAAGTCGCTAAGAATTCACGAAAAGTAAAGGCTATAGCCATATACTTTTTTGCTGGTTTTTTTTTTCCATTTATGAAAAATGAAAAAGTCGCTATAAATCTACGAAAGGTAAAGGCTATAGCCTTAAGTTTTAGCCCCTTTTTTATTTTTGAAAAAAGTGGGTGGCTTATTTTACTGTTGCCCATGAATATTTAGCCTCTCTTTATTTCAGAAAAAGTATAGCTAGAAAGAAAAAATCCATTTTGTCCATTTCAGTTCTTGAAAAAAGGGGCTAAAATGCCAAACATATAAAAGCTAGCATCTTTTCATTTTTAACAATTAGGGGCTAGAAATAACGAAAAAGTTAAGCAAACGCCTTAATTATATATTCATTTTAAGCTACTTTCTTTATTTTTGAAAAAGGAGCTACAAAAATTATGATTTTTCATGTTAAAACCATTTTGTCCATTTTCGGTCTCTTTTCTCATTCTTGGAAAAGGGTCTAAAAAGGCCAAAAACTAAAGCTAACCCACCGATTACCAACAAATGAAAGTAAAGGCTAACCCTGGATTATTCATTCAACGAACAAGCTGAAAAAGCTGAAAAAATCGCCTTCCCGTTCCCATAAGGTTGACCTTAGTATTAATCCCCGAGCCAACGGCGCAAAGCGCGACGACGTTCCGTGAGGCCTGGGCGAGGATACTAATATCCGCTCTGCTATATTTACAACCCCAATCTCGTACCCAAACTCCAGAGTATGTTGTACGAGATTATTTCTCCAGAGTCGTGACCAGCACCCAACCTGCGATCGGGCATACTCTATGTACGGGATTGTTTACACCCGGGAAAAGGAAAGCATTAGCGAAGTCTATAACTAAAAAGTTCATATTGTCATGGGTGGAACTCATACTGATCTCAAAATGTAGATGTACGGTAGAAACCCGAAAAATTCAGAAACCCGAGAAAATTGTTAATGTAATGAAACGAGCAGCCACACAGTTTTATTTGTGTTTGCTTGATAACAGAAGATCAGGGACAATAGATTGCAAAAAGTCATAAAACCTAGGCCAAGGCAAATGTGTTCTAAATATTGATGTTGTTTGCTTTAAGAAGGGATGTTGCATACAATAAAAAAGACAGTGCATTCTGTGTATCTTTTGTTAGTAAATTACACGTTTTTAGTTACCCTGGATTCC